AAGAAGCGGAGCGAGAACTTGGAACCAAGTTTTTTTGTCCTCTTTTTATCATTATTACTTGCTCTCTTTTTTTTCCTGCTCATTTAAAAATAACCCCTTATTCTCAGAGACCATCTTAAACTTAAAAGACACAAGGAGCTTGATTACCTTCTAAGATAAAGTAATAGCATTTCCTGCTGTTTCTCCCTGAAGGCTCTGTCCAGGGCCAGCAGATGTCTGGGTGGTTGGCGGGGAGGAGGGCGGGGGAGAGGGGCTGGGGGCGGCCGGAGCCAGCACGGAGCTGGGCCGCATTTCAGGCCCAGAATGGAGCGTCGATCTCTCCCCTGCAGGAAACAGGGATCAGGAACACTTGGGCGTCCCTTCCCACCTCGGCCGCTGACGCCTCCCGGGGCCGGAGGCCAAGGACGGAGAATCTCCGCCAGCCCGGGCTCTCGGAGGAGGAGGGGGCCTGCATTCTGCATGGAAACTCGTGGGGACGCGAAGTGCTCCCGCAAGTGGGTCGCGGGCAGCCTCGAACCGCCCGTGTGCGAGCCTCCAGCCCCAGACCTCGTCTCCCGGGCCGGTCTGGAATGCCAACCCCCCTTTCCACAGCAGAGACGTCACGGTCCTTTTCTCAGCGCGACTTGGTCTCCAAGCACAAGGTGGGGAGAGGGAGGAGGGAAAGGAAGGCAGCGCATTCAGGACAGGAGGACGCGGGCGTTTGAAATGGGTCAGCGGGGACGGAGCCAGGCCGGGCAGCGCCCGTCGGAGCACTTACCTGCGGACCGCGGCGGGCAGACCTGCCGCAGGTGGTCGCGCTCTCCTTCCCGGTGCCCGCACCTGGGCTGCTCCCGCCGCCGCCGCCGCCCTCCAGGCCCAGGTAAGCGGCGGAACCGGCTCCGAAGCAGGAAGTGGAAGTTGTATGCAAATTTCTACCGGGGCTAGGAAGCCTCCGCTCACAAGGCTCCCCTGTGGGCAGTGAATCAACAGCCGAGGAGTCACTTTATTTCTTAAAACAGAAACCTCCTTCATTCACTAGAAAAGGCCACCGACCAATTAGGCTGCAATGTTGCCTCCACCACCCAGCTCAGCATCTGCTGGGAATGTCCCGCAGCCTGGGCCTCGGCCCGAGAGGTGCCTGGGGAGGGGGTTGAACTTGGGTGTGAAGATGGGTTATTCATTATCGGCTCCAGGGAGGAGACTGGGGACACAGAGTGGGGAGGAGTCTAAAGCAAGGGCTTCTTGATATTTCTAACTGCTGGCAACACCATCATTGCTCACCCAGACCCTGCGAGCTCGGGCACGTGCATAGACACATAGACACATGTACACATATACAAACACACACACAACAGACACACCCCCTCTGCCCCATTGACAGGCACGAAAAAATGACTTTTTTTCATGCTCACCAGAGGACACGTTTTTATTGATTTTAGAGAGAGAGGAAAAGAGAGAGAGAGAAACTTCAATGTGAGAGAAAAACATTCAGTTGCCTCCCATACACACCCCGATGGGGGATCAAAACTGCAACCTAGGTTTGTGCCCTAACTGGGAATCGAACCCAAAACCTTTTGGTGTACAGGATGACCCTCCAACCAACTGAACCACCCGGCCCAGGAGAAAAAATGACTACTTTTAAGAAAACACTGCCTGGCTGGGTAGCTCAGTTGGTTAGCGTGTTGTCCCGATATGCAAAAGTTACAGGTTCGATACTGCCTCGGGGCACTTACAAGAATCAACCAATGAATGCATATATAAGTGGAACAACAAATTGATTCATCTCGTTCACTCCTTTCCTCTCTCTAAAGTCAATCCATAAATAACCCTCTCCACCACGCACACATATGTGAGTGCATTTTTCATGACCTCAAGCTTATTTTCTCCTTCTCCCATTTAACCAATAGCCTACGGAATTTATTGCCGAAGTTGATGCTGGAGACAAGATGACCAGGGCATCGGTGTGTGGTGAAAGCTGCGGTGGCTGGAGTCTTGGAATCAGAGGGATTGGGTGTGAGCTCAGTTATGGCACTGGCCAGCTGGGCACCACATCTGGGGCCTCGGCAGGCACTCTGCTCCTGGTGCTCGGCCTGCCTCCTGTGGACCGCAGTCTCTCCATCCTGGTGCAGGGCACAGGCCCCAGAGCCTCCCCAGCCAGACGGCCAGGCTCTGCTCAGGGCATGCGAAGGGGACTGCTCTCTATTCCTCAAGCAGAGGGATGCTGCTTGGTTTTAAAATAGCACATGCAGGTTGTCTACATTGTGATATAGCCTTCCAATGAAATACTACACAGCTGTTAAAAACCATAAATATTTACGTATACAGTGGGGCCTTGACTTAAGAGTTTAATTCGTTCCGTGACGGAGCTCGTAACTCAAATTACTCGTATGTCAAATCATAAAGTGAATGAGTGAGACATGTTATGCTGGGCTGATGTTGTGGCATTCACTGTGACGTTCGCTGCGCCAACTAGCGGTGGGGTATCTGAAGCTGGCTCATAACCCGAATTTTAGCTCACAACTCAAAGCAAAAAATCAGCCGAGAGACGGCTCCTATCTCGAAAAACTCGTTAGTCGGGACACTCGTAAGTCAAGGCCCCACTGTATATTTCTTTCTACATAGAAAAGTGGATATTATTTAATATAAACATGATCTCATTTTTGCCAATATATATGACAGATAAATACATTCATAAATATCTAGATTTGTTTGTTCACCACTGGTCCCAGCTCCTAGCTAGTACACTGTCCAGAGCATAAGAGGCAATCTATAATAGTAAAAGGGTAATATGCAAATTGACCAAATGGCTGAATAGCGGAACCATCCGGATGATCACACCATGACACTCACTGGCGCCAGGCCAGCCAAGGAGGGTGCAATGTGATTGGTCAGGGGCCTGGCCATCGCCCCATGATTGCCCTGCAGAGGGAGGCCCAGGCCATGGCTGGTGGGGCGATCCATCAATCAGGGGGCTCCACAATCGCCACAAAGAGGGAGGGCCTACCTCTTTGGGGCAATCGATCATGGGGTTCCCGGACTGTGAGAGGGTGCAGGCCGGGCTGAGGGACAACCTCCACCCCCAAGTGCACCACTTTCGTGCACCGGTCCTCTAGTCCCTATATATTTGTCAAATGATGAAAAGTGACAGAAATTTCTGGAAGAATTCATGCCCTACTGTTAAGTGGTTGTTGCCTCCAGGGAATGGGATTGAAGAGACTAAATGAGATTGAATGGCTTTTATGCTATATACACATCTGAGTTGTTTGATTACCCCCTCCCCCCACAATAAGCATATAGTACTTTATTCATTAAAAAGAACAAAGATTAAAAAGTAGTAAAATTAACTTGGCCTTGAACTTTCTGCCTCAAATTATTATTATCATCATCATCATTATTATTAGTTGTTGTTGTTGTTGTTAATCCTCACTCCAGGATATTTTTCCCACTGATTTTTTAGAAAGAGTGGAAGAGAGGGAGGGAGGGATCAAGGGAGGGGAGAGAGAGGGATAGAGAGAAAGATCAATTGAGAGAGACACATCAATTGGTTGCCTCCTTCACATGCCTGATTGGGGCTGGGGATCAAACCTGCAACCCAGCTATGTGCCCTTGACAGAGAATTGGGCTGAAGCTCTCACCATTGAACATACCTGCCAGGGTTATTATTAAAACTAGAGGGCCAGTGCACAAAATTTGTGCACTTGGAGGGGAGTGCCTCAGCCCCAACCTGTGCCCTCTCGCAGTCCGGGAGCCTTCAGGGGATGTCCGACTGCTGTGGAGGTGGGAGAGGCTCCCACCACCGCCGCTGATCTCGCCAGCCGTGAGCCCAGCTTCTGGCTGAGCAGCGCTCCCCCTGTGAGAGCACACTGACCACCAGGGGGCAGTTCCTGCATTGAGTGTCTGCTCCTGGTGGTCAGTGCACATCATAGCAACTGGTTGTTCCACCATTGGGGCAAAACCAGCTCTCCGACATCCCCCAAGAGTTCCCGGATTGTGAGAGGGCACAGGCCAGGCCGAGGGAGCCCACCAGTGCACGATAGGGGCCGGGGAGGGACACGGGAGGTTGGCCAGCTGGGGAGGGACTGCAGGAGGGCTCCAGGGCATGTCCAGCCCATCTTGCTCAGTCCCGATTGTCTGGACCCCAGCAGCAAGCTAACTTACTGGTCTGCCCCCAGGTGGTCAGTGCACATCACAGTGAGTGGTTGAGCAGCCTTAGCATATCATTAGCATATTACACTTTGATTGGTTGAACAGCCTACCTGACAACCAGACACTTAGCATATTAAGCTTTTATTATATAAGATCTTTTTTTTCTTTTTCTTTTTTTTTTCTTTCTTTCTTTTTTTTTGTAAGAAATAGCATTCTCTGTGGACTGCTTGGTACCAGAACACTTTGAAAAAGCTGTCAGTGTTAGGAGATGAGAACAGGAATGAGGAGAATGGCAAGGGGAGGACACAAGAGGGAGAGTGAAGAAAAGGGTAGGGTGAACATATTTTTCATTTCCCTTAGATGCCCTTAAAGGGATTGGGAAAACCCTGGAAGGTGCTCCTGCCAAGTACTACCTTTGGAATACAACCCATGAGGAAGAACAAGGGGGGCTATTTTTTTAAATTTCTCCCACCACTTCCCCAGATGTGGGGGCCCAAGGGTCCTGTAGGAAGAATCCAAGCGCTGAAGTGTTGCTTTTAATTGCTGTTCGCAGGGCCTGCCTCCTGTCTCAACTTAGTCTAAGCCGAGAGGCAGGCACCTGGGGAACGAGTTCATGTTTCTACCCAGGAGCCTTTGCTGGGCCCTCTACTGCAAGGCAGCCTGAGGTGAAGCTGTTTAGAGAGGGTGTCCTGCACATGAGTAACTTGGGTTGGAATGTGCCCCAATCAGTCACAGTGAAATACGATCCCAGGGGAAGTGTCAGGGAGTCTGGGGAATGAGCACTTCCGGCCCCAGGAGTCCCCACTGGGAGCTGGTTTTCAGGTTCTCTCTCTCTCTCTCTCTCTCTCTCTCACACACACACACACACACACACACACACACACACACACACACACGCCCTGTTAGCTGCTGCCCAGGAGAGGAGCTCTTCACTGAGGACCCACCATGCACTCCCTGTCAGTGCACTTCCTCCTCCACACAGTCCCGCGAACTGCGTTTGCTGTCGTTCCCATTTATCTGTGAGGGATCCCAGGCTCAGGGAGTAACTTCTCCGAGGTCACACAGCCAGTGCGGGGTGAAGGATTCCAGAACCTTCCCACTGCAGAAGAGGGCGTTGCTTTTCCTGCCTCCATGGCCCTGTGCAGTCGGCCTTCCTACACGCTCAGGTGGGACTCAGGTAACTTGCTTTCTTTGCACAACTCTTGACAATGTTCTAGAGCGGGAAGAAAAGGTGTAGGCAATAAGAGGGTGGGGCTGAGGCTGTGGTGCTGTGTTTATGGGGTGATGGCCGCTGGAATGAATAATAGGTAATCACGATGTGGGTCAGCCCTCTCCCTTGAAGTCTAGGAGGAGAGGACTTGGCTGCCAGATTCTGCAGTTTGCTCAGTATTCTTGCAAAAGGCTAATTAAATAAAGGTCAGTTCTTCCCCATCTCTGTAAACAAAACAAAAAACAAAACCATTTGGATTTAATGCTCAAAAACTTTCCATCCACGGCATTAATCTATTAATAGAAAGGAAGGGGAAAGGAAACGATTCACTGCTTGGACAAGCCTTGCTTTTTCATTTTTAAATGCTATGATTCCGAGTGTTGCAAGGGCAGAGTAGAGCTATGACACATCACGGAAGAGCACACTCGGTCCGGCACCGCAGCACTGCCCTGACAGTGGCCTTGCTCAGAGGTGGACCGCACTTCCACAGCGCTGGCCACCGCCCACAGCTTCTCCTCACGCAGTCAGGAGGCAGAGCAGAAATGTCCAGGCTCCCCGTGTCTGTCCTGCCACAGCCCTCAGGGGCACCTGCTTTATTCCAGACAGAGCTAGGTGCTAGGCATGCACACCGAAAGGTTCTTAGCATGTTCTGTGTCCCTTTCCGAAGCAAACGGTGGAGATGCAGGGCAGCTCCAAACCAGCGAGCCGGCAGAGCTGAGAGTCCACCGGTGGCTTCTTCTCCCGCTGGGGTGGGCTCTTCAAGTCCAGACCCAGGCAGAAGCCAGAATCCGTCATCCTCTCTCCCCCCCTGCCCCCCCCCCCTCCTGCCCGAGGACCCTGCCACCACTAGCCCAGGGCCTTCTTCCTTCTTGGCAAGTTCCCCTTTGGAACTGTCCTGTCCTGTCCGCAGATTCAGTCAGGACCTAATGCATCTAGCAAAGGGGTCCTGGTAAGGCAGACTCTCACAGGGAAAGGCTAGCTCTCCATCTTTTCCCTTCCAAGTGGTTCCTCAGCACCAGTACAGGTTTACTCCCCTCCTCCCCCCCATGGAGGGGACATGGGGAACAGCCTTTGTAAAAGGTCCTGCCACATGGGATTCCTAGGGCCCGGGGTGTCTACCCACCTTCCACATGCGTATTTAACGGGGAGCACTCTAAAGTTCGGAGGAAAACCAAAGGTGATCCACTCCAAGGTGACTCCCCTCGTGGTCAACTGGACCCAAAGTTGTTGGCAGCTTCTCTTGCTAAAAAACGACGATGACCTGGCACCCGGGCTCCCCATTGCTACCACCACAATGACCATAGCTAACCCGCCGATGGTGCTGGTTAAGTGCAGCAGGGCTCTAAGAACTTTATGCTTTTGCTCACTTAATGAGATCGGCACTATAAGGCTATCTACCATTTAACGAGTGTCTACTATGTGCCAAGTGTTTGTTATTATCTTTATAATGAAGTGGAGATATTTGTTCAGCAGAACTCCAGATAGTTGCTTTTAAAGAGAAAAAAGCAGAGAGACCAGACTGTGCTTCTTATGGGGGTGGACTCAGCAGGCCAAGTCCGAGGAGAGAGGAGCGTTTGGAAGGGGGTGATGATAAAGTTCCCCTTGGAAGGGAAAAGCATGAGCCCAGCAGGGGGGGTGGAGGAGACACGGGGGGGGGGGAGGGGGGGGGCGGCAGCAAGGGCCCATGTGGCAGCGGGAAAGCAGGTGGACCATCCCTGGGTCCCTGCAAGAAAATCTATAATAAAGAATCTATGGTAAATAATTCTCCAAGTGTTCTCTAGTTGGATGTACTCAATTGGTTGACTTTTGGACATGTACACGGGCAGCTTTATTGAGGTTACATTTAAAAATTAGGATGGTTATTAGAAAAAATAGAAAATAACAAGTGTTGGCAATGATGTGGAGAAATTGAAACCCTATGCACTGTTGGTGGGAATGTAAAATGGTGCGGCTACTATAGGGAACAGTGTGATGGGCCCTCAAAAAATTTAAATAGAATTACCATATTACCCAGCAATTTCGTTTCTGGGCATCTACCCAAAAGCATTGAAAGCAGGGTCTAGAAGAGGTGTTTGTACACCTTGTGCAAGCAGTGTTATTCACAGCAGGCCAAAGGTAGAAGCAACTAAGTGTTGGACGAATGAACAGGTAAACAAAAGTGCTATATGCATGCAATGGAATATTACTCAGCCTTGAAAAGGATGGAAATTCTGACATGTGTTACAACATGGATGTACCGGGAGGACATTATAGTAAGTCATAAAAGGACAAGACAGTCATAAAGGACAAGTATGGAATCATCCCACTTATATGAGCTATGAGTAATCAGATTTATAGAGACAGAAATTAGAATGGTGGTTGCCAAGGGCTGGGGAGAGGGAGGAATGGCGAGTTACTATTTAATGGGTATAGAGTTTTGGTTTTGCAAGATGAAAAGAATTCTGGAGATGGATGGTGGTGATGGTTGCACAAAATGTGAATGCACTTAATGCCATGGAACTTTACGCTTAAAATGGTTAAGATGGTAAATTTTATGTCATGTGTATTTCACCACAATTAAAATAAAATAAAAATTCCCAAAGCAGGCCTGCACAACAGGTATTATTAACCTCATTTCACAGGAGAGGAAATGAAGGTGCCGGGAAGTTAAGTACTTTCTAGGGCTGCACAGCTGGGTTTCAAACCACGTATGACTCCCTAAGAAGGCCATGCCCATGCCCTGCACCGTGCTGCCTGGCACCCACGTGAGGAGGCGGCCAGGAGGGCAGTGGGCATATACTGAAGCCGCACAGATTCATCTCCTTTCTGTGCCCTTCTCCCTCTCTAGTCTGCCCTTCCTCCAATATGGCTTTTTCTAGTGTCCTTATGCTCTCCCCTGCCTTTCCCTCATCAAAACCTGGTCACTCGTTTATACAGAGGTTGCACGGTGTGAATTTAAATCGCATGCTCTCTCTGAGGGGTGCTTGCATTTTAAGCCTCATTAACCGATGAAATGAAAGCCTTTGTTCCATATTAAAGGAATTTCAGACATCGGGTACCAAGCAGGGAGGAAAGGGAGAGTGGTGGTGGCAGGTAGGGCAAGCACAACCCAAAGATATGCATTAAATGGGGAAACTTTAGGCATTAAGTTAGGGGGAGATATAGTTTTTGGACAGACTGATCTTTCAAGGCGACCCAACAATATTAGGCTTGGGAGCCAGGGAGACACTTGAACCCTCCCCTCTGAGCAGACTTGGCTGACTGACTTCCAGGCTCCCAAGTCTTTTTAAAAAAAATGTATTTTTATTGATTTCAGAGAAGAAGGAAGAGGGAGAGAGGAATAGAAACATCAATGATGAGAATCATCGATTGGCTGCCTCCTGCACACCCCCTACTGGGAATTGAGCCCTTTGCCCTCCCAGACCCTTTCTTGCCACAGATCTGGTCAACCCTCTGCTCTGCCTTCTGAGTGCGTCTGAGCCCGCACCCCCCCCCCCCCCCCCCCCCCCCCCCCCGCTGGTGAGGTAGAGGGTGAGTCGGAGAAGGTGGAGCTGAGATTTTAACCTGTGCAGTCTGACTCCAGGCTCTGGACGCTTTGCCCTGGTCCTCCAGCCTTCGGAGATCATCCTTATTTTACAAACAAAACGACTTCATCAGGCTCCCACATCCTGTGGGAAGTCCTGCAGCCTCTCCAGCATTTCCAAGGAGTCCTGCGGGGTGGTGGGGGTTGAGTTATATTCTCCTGCTTATTTCCACATTTCCACTTATAATCTTTTTTTAAAGAATGCTTTTTTAAAAAATTGATTTCAGAGACGAAGGGAGAGGGAGAGACAGAAACATCAATGATGACAGAGAATCATTGATTGGCTGCCTCTTGCATGCCCCCCCACCCCCCACCCCCGGGGATCGAGCCTGCAACCCAGGCATATGCCCTGCCTTGGAATCAAACCGTGACCTCCTGGTTCATAGGTTGATGCTCAACCACTAGGCCACACCAGCCGGGCTCTACTTATATTTTTAATCCCTTTAAGTCCATTTGCCTCTAGCATCTTCTGTCCTCTCTCCCCTTTCCTCACCCAATGCCAGAGCATTGTCTCTCCTCCTTATTCCCTAAAGCACACCTAAGCCCAAGCTGGCATGTTAAAGGATTCTTAAGGATTGGGGATGTTTGCTGGTAATAGAGGGTCACCATACCATAGGAGAGCTCAGCAAAGAGCTGCAAATTCAGAATGGGCATGCCAGTCTGCAGGCCCGCTCCTGTACTTTAGGGAGGGATGGGACAAAAGTACAAATGGAGGCCTGAACACTCACCCCATCTCCCAGGGTCTTCCTGACACCAGGGCATCCTGCACACGAGGGACTGCCTGTATAATGCCCGGCCCATGTTTGATGGTACCACCCCCTCTGGGAAGAGGCGTGCCTAGGAGCGGGGATTTCCACGGTCCTGAAGGAGGGGGTGGCTCAGTGTGCACACACCCATTGGCCCACACAGTGGTGTGCTGCCCAGCACGCTCTTGAGAGCTGAGTCACCCCTTCCTTACGCCACTTGCAGTGCAATCCCACTGATAGCTTGAAATCAGCTATGATGTGGTGGGAATATTTCCACAGTGGGAGCTAGCAAACATGTCAATCAGATAAGATTTTATTTTTTCCCGGAGAGCCTGTTTATCGGTATACCCCTGGCTCATGGACACCTCACTCCATACACAGGGACACAGCCGGAAGAATGCCCATTTGGACCCCTCTGAGGCAGCAGTTCTCCGATTTCATTGCATATTAAAATCCCCTGAGAGCTCTGGCGGCGAGCTATTAGTCTTTCTAAGTTTCCTAGGTAATTCCAAAGTATAGCCAAAGTTGCAGACTGATGACCTAAAACATTTCTTATCACACTTAAGGGTACATATACATTTTAAATGACAGAATCTGAGGCCTGGGATTCTGCATGTTAGTAATCTCTTTGGTCTACTGATGCTACTATTCTGTGGACCACAGTTTGAGGAGCAAGAGCCTAAAGCACAGGGCCAGAGGGCAGTAGCTGTTCTGAGGACCCTCAGCTTTGCTTGTCACAGAGAATTTCTCATTGAAGTTACCTTTCTCCGGACGCCCTGACCTTCGCCATTTTCTGGAGTCTATCATGACCCCTTTTTTTTGCTATTCTGGGTATGGGACACTAGTCTCCCTTGATGCCTTGGGAAAAGTCCCAAATTCCTGCCGTCTCATCTTTTTTTTTTTAATAGCAAAGTTCAGGAACATTTATTTAGAAACAGTGGCTAAATTCATGGGGGATTGAGCCTGCAGCCGAGGTACATGCCCTTGACTGGAATCGAACCCGGGACCCTTCAGCCCACGGGCCAACGCTCTATCCACTGAGCCAAACCGGTGTGAGCACTAGTCTGTGCTTCTTCTTCTTTTTTTTTTTCTGCCATCTCATTTTGCAGATCACTTTAGTTCTTCCAGACTACACTGGGAAGCTCGCCTCTCCTTCCTAACCAAACAATGGAATACTACGCTGCTATAAAAAAGAGAGAGAAGGAATTCTTACCATTTGCAAACCGTTGTTTTCTTAAACAATGAAGTCGTTTTCTTTCTGCTTTCCCTGGCTCCCCACCCAACGCCTCTAGAATTCCAACTCACAACCACAGGGATTTCCTTTTTGTATCAATTCCTTCCCTTTCTGTTATATCCTCGAAGACTGAAACTAGTGAGCAGGGCCCCAGTGCAGGTATGAAGGGCCGGCTGGGAGCAGAAGGGCGGGACCAGGCCAGTCACACCGGCCGCTCTCCCAGGCCCCAGCGAGGAGAAGCCCAGGCCTTGTCTCAGACTGAAATGATAGCAAACCTTTCAGCTTGTTGTGTAAAAGTGTAACTAGAGAATAATATAACTACACCTGAATCTTCCTGCCCAGGGTGGGTTCGGTCACCATCCACAAGTCTGACTTCCAGTCTTGATGAGAAACCACCCCTGTGCTTTTATAGATGCATCTCTAGACAGAGGCGACCCTATCCCAGCATTAGAATCAAAGTTCTGGCTCCCACGTGGCCTCCCGAGGCTGACAGGCTTGCAGGTCCTGTGGCAGTGAGGCGGCTTCTGTCTGAGCGGGTCACATTCCAGGTCCGTCCGGCCCCGGGGCTCAGCCCTGCCGGGAGCGCCTGGCTGCGGATGTGCTGCATGCACAGCGCTGGGAGTGAGAGCTAATCTAAGCTGTCCGGTGTCCCCAGCTCCCTGCAACTGACATTTCTGTCCACAGGCTGTGCATTTTGCCGAAACCTGTCTCTGAGAGGGCGGGTCTCGGTGTCCGGCCCGCTGGAGCACTCACGGAGCAGGGCTTCTCTGCTCAGCGTGGATGCTCGGCTTCAGGCGGCTCTGGTTTTCCTGCTCAGCATCACCCCAAAGCCCGAGTCCTTGGTTGTCTGCAACTCCCTCTTCCTTTCATATCTACGCCAAGCGGCTGCCGTCCCCCTCGCTTCCTCGCACTCTGAATTCCTGATCTCACTGGATATGGGTGCAGCCATCTCCCCCCACATTGGAGAGTCCCTGCCCCACCTGCCTGTCCCTCCCCTTTTCCCTATTCGCTGGAAGGGTCACCATCACAACTCCTTTGCACATAACAGATTTTAGCTGAAGGTGTCAGGACAATGGAGGGAATGACATCCAGGGCCGACCGAGAAAGCAATTTAAAATGAACTGTGTGGCATTCTAGCTTCATTGGCCGTCGTTGCCTTGGTGAGTATCTTACTGGTCATCTTTCTTTTTTTTATTTTTATTGTTTTATTGCTTAAAGTATTACAAAGAGTATTACATATGTCTCCTTTTTTTCCCCACCCTTGACAATCCCCTGGCCTCCCCTACCCCCCAGTGTCTTATGTCCATTGGTTATGCTTATATGCATGCATACAAGTCCTTCGGTTGATCTCTTACCCCCCTCCCTCCTGCCCCCCAACCCTCCCCGGCTTTCCTGTTGCAGTTTGACAATCTGTTTGAGGCAGCTCTGCCTCTGTATCTATTATTGTTCATACGTTTATAATGGTCTTTATTATCCATGAATGAGTGAGATCATGTGGTATTTTTCCTTCATTGACTGGCTTGTTTCACTTAGCATAATGCTCTCCAGTTCCATCCATGCCATTGCAAATGGTAAGAGTTCCTTCTTTTTTACAGCAGCATAGTATTCCATCGTGTAGATGTACCACAGTTTTCTAATCCATTCATCTACTGATGGGCACTTAGGCTGTTTCCTTACTGGTCATCTTTCATCTTACAATTCCCAGACCTTGGTGATACAAAACTTGCCCCCCTCCCCTTTCCAGAGATCTCCTCTTTCTCTCCATTCAGGCCCAGAGCCCTGTCTCAACACCCCCAGTGAAGATGACATTCTTACAACTTCAGCAGGCAGAACCTCCTAGTTCCTTTTCTCGGTGGTAGCTTGCTCTTCCTGACCATTGGAAGGGAGCTTACCTTTCATGGCCAACTGTGTCCCATCAAGGTTATTCCGTGAACATCATCTGCCACCAAGAGCAGCCCTGTTCCCCAAATGCCAAACGTGGCCATCTTTTTATGTCTTTGTAATGATATTCTTCTTTCTGTTACAACAGAAATTTTACGAATATTAAACACAAATTAGGAAACCATTTGGGGATTCCTTAAAAAGTTCAACAGATGATCTGGCAATTGTTTTCTTCTGGGTGTGTGCCTAGAAGGATTGAAAGTGGGGGCTTAGACAGATATTTGTATACCCATGTTTACTGCAGACTATTCACAGGAGTCAAGATGAAAACAAGCCATTTGTTCACTGATAGATAAATGAATAAACAAAATGTGGTATATCCATGAAAATGAATATTATCCAGCCTTAAGAAGAAATAAAGGACTGATCCATGAGAGGCCATGAATGAAATTTGACCTTATGCTAAGTGAAGTCAGGCAGACGTAAAAGGATAAATATTATATGAGGTCAAACTTTGGAGACAGAAAGTGGAAGAGAGGTTACTGGCGCTGGGAGAAGGGAGAATGGGGAGCCACTGCTTAACGGGTGTGGAGTATCTGCTTAGGGTGATGAAAAAATTCTGGAAACTGATAGTGGTGATGGTTGCACAACAATATGAATATACTTAATGCCAACGAATTGTATGTTTGGAAATGATTAAAGCAATAAATTTTATGTTGTATATATTTTACCACACACAATAAAAACACAACACAACACCGGGAGTCTTGGCTCTTTCATCTTCTACACCAGGGGTGGGAAACCGTTTCCTGCCAAGGGCCATTTGGATATTTTTAACATCATTCGAGGGCCATAAAAAATTATCAACTTAAAAATTAGCCTGCTCTATTTGGTCAAACATTTAACTAACTCATCCCTCATGCCTTGGCAGGGCCAGACCAAGTGATTTTGTGGGCCTTATATGGCCCGTGGGCCAGACATTCCCCACCCCAGTTCTACACCCTCAGGGAAGACCCTGGAGAGCCCTGGAGGGGACAGGTGAGGGCTGAGGGCAGGTGAGCTGGTTATCACAGCACAGCTGGGCCTGCAAGGAGGAGGGGCTGTTTTTCAAAACCTGCTTCTCTTTGGGACTCAGCCTCCCCACTTGGCTCTCAGGTCAGCCTTCCCTCTGAAGATCCCAAATGTGTTTCTGTTTTCAGTTTTCACTTGTCTTTTGATTGGGTTGAAGCCAGCTCCCTCCCTGGGATTAATATTCACAACAAGCAGCGAGCGATTAATTTAACCAGTTGAAATTTATTGTGCCTTCGCCTTAACTCAAAGCCGGCTTCTGCTGGGTGTTTATTTTTCACTGTTGATGCATTGCTCATGACAGCCCCTAAGCACCTGAATTTAAAGCACAGCATTGTACAGAATTCCTGCTGCCCCCCCTCCCCCCGCCCCCAGCTTCTCGGACCCTCTGAAATAGACAGAAATCCACACTGTGTCTCAGAGAAGGTAATTCTTGATTGCTGGCCTATGGGAACAGTTGGGAGCCTTAAGGCAGTTTGAGATTTGGATTTCATGCCCAGCACATCGAGCTGGTGACTCATTTCATTTCAGGAGCTACAGTCAATAAATTCTGATTCTAACTTACAAGCACATCCCACCCCACCCCCAGCCGTCACAGGAACAGCCGGAGAGTCTGAGCTTGTCTCTCAGACCAAGCATGCAACCTTCTCACTCAGGGCTGCCCATGTGCCATCAGGCATTGGTGAGTTCATCCAGCCCCAATGCCTCCCTTCCCACTTCCCCTCTCGCCTCCTCTCACCCGCTGGCCCTCCCTGCAAAGTGACTGTCTAGAGAGGACTCTAACTGCTGGTGCCTAACAAGGCAGAACAAAGGCCCTCATGCTCACAGAGTTCCATTTGGAGTGCATGACAATTTCAGAGCACAAATGGAAAAAGGAAAAAAAAAAGATGGTTTGAAATCTATAGCTAGCTTTTATCAAACCAGAACTTGTAGCTCTCGGCTGACAATCAGCCGGCAGCTAAAACCCACGAGGGACGGTTCTCACTGGCAGCTTCTGGCTGGCTATTAGCTACCCGCAGCCTTCTGACCCTTTTTCCAGGGACGTAACAGCTGGCAGCTGACAGAGGCGCTGGCAAAGTGGGCAACTTTCACTTCTCTGGAAACGGATGCAAGATTGGCAGGAAGCAAGGCATTTAAAATATGCCGATCAGAAGCATTTCCACTTGCCTTTCTTTATTATGCTTTGATTTTGATCGCTAAAATGTATTACATGCTAAGGAGTTTTCATGATATTTTTTGCACAGTAAATGTCACTAACACCCATCCGGATAAAGGTGCCTTCTATGAGTGTTGTCTGCTTAGCTATCTTTAAAGCAATGGTTAATAAGCAGAGATGATAATCTAATGGCCACAAGTGTGGTGCTGAATAATTAAAACACGGCTTCCGTTTAATCAGAGCCGGTCCGGCAGGGCCTCGTGTGTGTTGCAGCCGGCGGGAGAAGTGAAATCAGGATTAACTAGCAATGCTGTGGGTAAAGATCAATTTAGCCTAATTCCTCTGTTCTATGCACCACTCTGCCCTCCATTTTTCTGTCGGAAAGGGCAGACGTGCTGGGTGTAAGTAGGAGGCCCCCATCTCATCATCGCTGAGGCGTGAGCAATGGTGAGATGGGATAGCCACCCTGAGGGCCCGACGCGACCACCCACACTACAGCCACTTCCATTCCAGCTGCTTGGCCACTTTGGGTCTCTTCACAGGGCATAGCACTTTGGGACTGTGGCCAATACACTATTTGCAATACTGCTGTTTTCATTCTGATAATAGCATTACAATCTGCTATTGTAACAGTTGACCTATATCAAATGTTTTCATTAAACTATAGATGGTCAAGGTAATGTTTGTCCAAAGAGTAGCAGATGGATGAAGACAAAAAGCCTGGTTCTGAACCCACGTGGCCAACAGGATAAAGAAATATCTGGAAGGTCAAAAGGACTAGACTAGATGGAAGAAGGATGTTTCCATGATAGGCTTAAACGTCAAACACAAAAATATGCATTTTGGCTTACTGAGATGAGAATTTCCAGAATGCTGGATTCTGTTTCTTATGTTCTTGCCCAGGAGAGAAAAAAATGAGTCAATGTTGAAAGGAAGGTTTATTTTTCGAGAATGGTGGGCAGGGTACAAAGGTTTCTCTCTGCTCCCTCCCAAGAATCTATTGAAATAATAAAGAAGGAATAGGAAAGGGGTATAACAGCATGATAATTGAGGAGCAGGATCAGTGGATTTGGGAGAAAGAGGGTAAGAGAGAAGACTGTTGATTTTCTCACTAAATCCTCTGTACCATTTGTTTTTTAATCATGTAGGTATATTACTCTGATAAAAAAGGATTTTTTTTTAAGTTGGAAGAGACCTTGTTGTCTTGTTCCTCATACTCAGGTTTTTAATGGCGACCACACTTACACCATCCTAAAGACACACGTTGCCATCCTATTTCTAACAACTCCCAGAGAAAAGCATCGCTAGCTCTCCTTAACGGAGCCATTTCATTGTCTGACAGTCCTCGTGGTTTTGATTCATGTTTTCCTTGTAGCCATAAGGTGCTAACGTGTGATTTGAAGGAGCTGATGTACACCCCGGGAGTAGCTGGGCTCTGTTCGAAGAAATAAAATGTCCAGAGCTGTCCTCTTTATGTTTTATACGGCAGCACACTTTTATGTGTGATTAAGAAACAAAACAACAAAGGGAAGAACATACTGAACTCGTCAAAGTCCGAGAGTTTCTGCTTCACCAAAAAGCACACAAGTGCTTTCATTCTATTTCATTCTATTACACTGACCCTGGGGAACCAAAGATGTGTTGCATTGAAATAAAGAGTAACACTTAACAGTTATTGTCAACCCATGGCAAAACTGTGAAATAGGCAAAGTTTGTCATTAGGGTTTTCCCACCATCCCTTACTGTGTCTTTCTTGTTACTGTCCCCTCTCAGCTCCAAGGCACCTACTGCTCTCTAGGTGCCAGGAAAACAACACAAACTATTTTATACTAAAGTGTCATTGACTTCCTGTGAATTCTACCCCAAGAACATTTGTATCCTATATCACTCTGGATCCAATCAAGAGAGAAAATACACACAGTAATTTGGACAAAGAAAGTATAATATAAGAATTACTAGAGGCCTGGTGCATGAAATCTGTGCACAGGTAGGGTCCCTAGGCCTGGCCGGCAAACAGGGCCGATCGGGGCCTTCTGGCTGCCAGCCAGGGCCTTCCTTCCCCTGCTGCCAGCTGCTGGCGGGGGCTTTCCTTCATTCCACGCCGCTCCCTGGTGGTGAGCGTATGTCATAGGCAAGCGATCAAACTCCTGGTCTCCTGGTCGAACTCCCGAGGGGAAACTTTGCATATTAGCCTTTAATATATGTAGATTAGCAACAACAGGAGATTAAGTAACAAAGAGTTCGTAGGAAGTAAAGAGAATTCTAAAGAATGTAGGCAGATAAGGAACAACAGCTACCCTTAAGGCTGAGATGAAGTGCCCAAGGAAGAGCTCTACCAGGTTGAGATTCAGACCTTGCTGAAGGGGCACCGCTGTGGCTCATAGGACGGCAGAGAAGGCCCTGGGGTGCTGCATTGGTGGAACTGGCTGGAAATATGCTTGCGAGGGTGTCGGGAAAAGCTGATTGCAGGGAGACATTTCGCCAGAGGTACTCTGCTGCAAAACCACCTGAGGTGGGGAGTGTCCGGGAAGCTGCAGGAGCCTGGTGGGCTGCAGGAGCCTGCCACGCAAGCTTACGGGAAGCAGGACAGAAAACCCCTCCCTCTTGCAGGGTCTCTCCAGCATCCTTATTGACAAAGCTCAATATTGTGCCAGCTGCCAAAGGGAAACTATTTGAAGGGTACAGGCCTATTTTTGAAGAGCAGGCAATGATAAACTTGGAGCTAAGAGGCAATACATTGGTAACTGGCATACACTTTAAGACAGAAAGAAAAGATGCAGGTAACATTGAACCCAATGGGATTTTCTAGAGGCAAAGTTCCAGGATAGGCAGGCTAGAGCAGGTATGTTGGAGCAGGAGAGCTTTCTAACAGCTCAGAAGTCACACTAGTAGGTGACATAAATGTATAGTCGATTGAATGGAATTATTATTTTTTAAAAGTAATCACTTATTTATTTATTTTTATAGATTTTTGATTTCAGAGAGGAAGGGAGAGAGAGATAGAAACATCAATGATGAGAGAGAAGCACCGATTGGCTGCCTCCTGCACACCCCCACTGGGGACCGAGCCCACAACCCGGGCATGTGCCCTTGACCGGAATCAAACCTGGGACCCTTCAGTCCGCAGGCCGACGCTCTATTCACTAAGCTAAACCGGCTGGGGCTGAATGGAATGATTAACTTTTGATTCTAGACAGGGCAGGGACACTATCAGGCCTTCAATTCCTCCATTCCTAGATGTGGCTGAAACTGGCTTGATTCCCACTAATTACACTTCTTCTTTCAATAATAAATGCTACTCCTCAAGCACACAAGGAGACAACATTCCCCAGGTTTCTTGCTTCTAGGTGGAGCATGCAACAAGTTCTGGTAAGTGAAATGTGAGAAGAAACAATAAATGCTACTTTCAGATCTGGCTCATAAAACTTATGTCCTTTAAGGACCATCTGTTCACTATTTGTTGTCTGATGTCCAGACGAAGGCAGAGGATCCAGTAGAAGAAGCCTCAGGGGATGGTGGTGCCATAGATGGAAAGAACCTCATCATAGCTCAGAGGAGAGATACTCAGGAGAGCTGTTCAACCCACATTAGACTAGAATGTGACTAAATTGTGTTCAACCTCTGAGACTTCTGGGTGTTTGTTATGCAGCTAGTGTTAACTTCTCTGACTGATACACTGGGCCCATTGGAGCCTTAGGACAGCATCAGTCTTAAACTTAAATAACAGAGAGATAACACCAGTCATTCCTTTTGTTTGAGCTTATCAAAATGAGGAAGCTGGATCACATATTTTCTTTGGTTCTATGTCTCATAAGTGTGGTATTTCAGAGTCCCCAAATAATTTTCCATGATCCACTGTGCAGGGCAAAGCACGGTAACTAGGTTTCTCTATGGAACAGAACAGAGGCTCCCTGAAGGTGAACTTCAGGGCACATTCTTTTCTCACTTCTGGGAGTTAATTTTGGTATGTGGTGCAAACTACAAAGTTAGCTGTTGACCCAGAAGCCAGAACTTGTTGACCTCAGTGGGCAGGGAACTTGTCCAGATGCACAGAGGCTCAAGGTCTGGGCCTCTCCTCTCCACCGTTCACCAGAGAGCAGAGGCAGATTGGGTCCCCTCTACATTCTATTTAGAAAGTGCATTCTCACACACACACACACACACACACACACACACACACACACACACACACACACACTTTTATTCCCTTCACTTTTTTTCCTTTCAGTATGTATGAACTCTTTTTGGGTGTATATTGTTTAAAAAGGAAGAATATTGCACATGTGTTTTCTGCCATCCATAAAACCAAGCAAGATCTACTTCTGTGGCTTCTTCTATTATTTGGTGTCAGGCTTCAAAGGAGACATCTCTGCCCCTCAGCCTGGGGGGGCATCACCCCCGACCTCTGCAATTCAAGGCCCTACGGGGAACTGCTCTGACTCTCAGGCAGTGCATCTATGTGATGCCGTGGGGTTAGCGCACATCTGAAGGTCTGCCTCCTGTGAGCGGACGCCTCATGAGTAAGTCACTTCCAACAGCAGCGTGGCACCTTATAACGTTTATGGAGGATGGACATGAATTTGAGTCTGGAAGAGCAGTTTCCTGTG